AGTCACCTTTAAACAGGGGCTTGCAGCCTGAACACAGTTCTCTAACTTAGTTCTCACTAAGGATGTGTATAATGTGGTGAACATGGTAGTATCAAGCTTAGTGAATGTCCTTTTTAAAGCCCAGAGGGTTCGAAACCCCTTAACTGCGACCTCCCGGCAATGGGCCGTCGTCTTAAGATCATTGCTCACTGTCACCCCTAGGTCCTTATGAGACCGGACTACGGGTAATGACACATCCCCTATGTTGTACGTATTAACCTTTGAATCCCCCAAGTGCATGTAGACACACTTTTCCGAGTTGATAGGCATTAGCCACTCTTTAGACCAGTTTATCATATTATTTAAGTCCGCCTGAAGAGTAAATGCGTCTTTGTCTCCAGTTATTACTCGCCAAATTTTTACATCGTCAGCGTATAATAACATTGGAGACTGTACTATACTTGTAAGATCATTAACGTACATTATAAAAAGTAAAGGACCTAAGACGGAACCTTGGGGTACTCCACTAAGTACTGGTCTCCAGATGGAGCACTTGGAATTTATTCTTACTTTTTGCCTACGACCTACTAGGAAATCCTTAATCCATTTTAAAAGAGGTCCGGCAATACCAAGGTTTGCCAACTTCAATAGCAGCCTATTAGTTGGCACCTTGTCAAAAGCCTTACTGAAGTCTATGTAGACAACATCCACTGAGTTTCCGTTGTCTAGCGCATTAATCCAGAGCTCCCTAGCTATAAGGAGGTTCGTTGTACAGGATAGACCCTTTCTAAAACCATGTTGTGCCATGTTCAGCAAGTTATTGGTTTCCATAAATGCTGTTATGGTCCGTTTGATTATTCTTTCCAGTATTTTAATTACAACACTGGTGAGGCTTACGGGTCTGTAATTTGATGGAACTTGTCGTAAACCTGTTTTATGTATGGGAGTGACGATTGCGTCCTTCCAGTCCATAGGTAACACACCTTGGTCAAGTGACATTTTGAATATCACAGTCAGTGGGGCTGCGATATATTGGGCAATATGTCTCAAGATTTTAGGGTGTAGTTCATCTGGTCCTGTTGACTTCTCCATGTTTAGGGTGCTAAGAGCCTTAAGCACATCGTTTTGGTCGAAGTCCACGGTGAGCAGCTGGTTTGTTGACTCTGTAATTGGGTCTGGTTCTTTCTCTAGAGGAGGTTCCTGAGTGAAAACTGCCCCAAAGTAGTCAGCCATAACCTCAGCTTTTTCCTGATCTTCCTCTATCATTTCAGATTCACTTCCTACTTTAATTAGGTTGGGAATCCAATGATGAATCCTTGTTCTGTAGTTTATGTACGAGAATATCCTCTTGGGCTGCTTGAGTGCAGATTCTGCCAGCTGCATTTCATATTTTCTTTGCGCTTCCCGAATTTTAGTTATACACTCGTTTCTTATCGATCTGTAACGTTCCATCGTACCCGCTGTGCCAAGGCGGATGGCAACATCCCAGCATTTCTTCTTTTGTCTTAGTAAGCGTCGAATATCCCGCCCTATCCAGGGATGTCCGTGCTTCTTTTTCTTTGGGACAGTCCAGGGTATGTATGGTTGAGTTACCCGATTGTATAACTGCCTGAATAGAGTCCATGCCTCTTGTACTGATGCCTTTGAGTCGATTTCCCAGTTCTCAGCCGATGCTGCGGAGTTAATTGCCTGCATATCTGCCTTCCATATGTTAGGACGGGCCGGCGCAATTGTTTGACAAGCAATCTCAGCCATGAATTTGAATAAGATGACTGCATGGTCACTTCTCTAATATTCCTTCAGCATTGCTCGTCACTTACTGTTGTCGACACGTTTTACGTAGTTGCTTGATTGTCTCACTGACTCATCTATTTTTATCTAAGTTTTAAGTAATATACCTGCCTTTCCATACAGCCATTTTCAGTTTGTTGTTGTTGCTATTCATTATTGTCTTATTGCTATAGGATTTAGTGCCTTAGTTATGACCTTTATGGCCACTGCTTCGTATAAGGCCCTACGTTACATGTCGGTGAGACTGTAATTTATGGCTGACGTTTGAGCGACGCTGAAGTGACCATTAGAGTGAATACCTACTCATTAGGACTTAATGGGGGATTGTAAAGCAGTTAGAATTCTCATTTACAATGGTTGGGTTTGAAAAATATATTCAGGGTTTTCATCACGAACTGACATCAGCTATAATGCCAAAATTCTATTTAGCCAAATGTATAGGTGAATTTCGCCCCAAAATTCGTGACTCGTTATTTTATATCTGATTGGTTCGTCGATAAATTAGTCTCGCCGTAGTGGTTGAAGATTCTATCTGTAAGATTGGACGGTCAATAACGGAAGCATATATCCGCCTAATATCCGTCCATTTTTTACGTGTATTCCTGTTTCAATGTTGCACTTTTATTACGTTGTGCCTAGTCAGTCAAGACTATAATTTGCTGACGATCTTTGAGCGATACCAGTGACCTTGACAATTTAGCAACCCAGGATTGAATGATGTCTATAATTTAGTGTAAGGAATTAGGATTAAGAAGTAGTTAGAGTTTTCATCACGAACTGACATCAGCTACAATGCCAGTGCTGTTTGGCCATATGAATAAATAAATTTCGCGTCAAAATCGAAGACCTGCTACCTTAAATCTGATTGGTTCGCCCGTAAATTACGGTTCTACCCACTTTTGTTACATTTAGGCTTAATATTCATTCAAACGTGAGTAGGACTTCCAGGACAGTGGCTGCATAAGCGTGGCCATGTGAACAGACTTTCAACCCTCGATCATACAAGGGCATTTAGGAGCAAAGCGTTTGCCAGGAGTGGGTTTAAGTGATCCCATGTGGTTCTGCGTTAAAACATCCATCTACTGAAAATGACGTCATCTAAAATCTTACACAGACGTGCTGACCACGTACTTTATGAAAGTCAGTAAACCACCATGTATTAACCTACGGGCTACATACAGTTTAGGTATCTGACAATACCATATGACTGCTGATTTCATCTCAAATAAAACTTTTGGATGATACCTAGTCTCACCAACTACTGTTTGTTTGTAACACTATTTTTGGTGCTCAGCTGTAACTGAGTTTTTACAAAATGGTATAATTATAGTTTCACGTTAAATAACTATCATCAGTTTGCTTTGTGAACGTTATGCAGCAAAAATATGGTGCATAACGTTAATATCTAAAGTCTTTTCCAACTACCAGAATGGTTTGTCGCTTTTCATGTTTGTTTACCTATACTTCCTTCTGATGTTAATACGTCAATAATAAACCTGAAAATCGGAAAACAGCACCTATCCATCTTTTCAATTTGTTTTACACAAACAACTTAGCCATCTTATCTAGTGTAAATTTTATTTTTAGTCGCGTCACTCAATGAAGTTTGTCATTAAAACTACATTTGACTCCGTTGATCAGTGGTTAGCGGTGCTGAATGACATGGCTCAAAACCTGTCACAATAGCATAGATGCACTCCCTCCCTGTCTATTCCTAGATCCTGGGTTTAAGAATTACTTTGGGCTGTTTATTCCATGATCTATTCCTAATTTTTTCTACTACCACTTCGGTATTCATCTTGGTAATTTCATCTCTCTGTGCTGATATGCTGTGACAACTAGAACCGACGCTGACGTATGCCAGATTCTACGTTATTCATGACGCGTTGGTCTGTTGGATTCACACGTCACTCAAAGGTATATCAAAGAAGTAAATAAACCTGTAGACTGTTACAACACAGTCGAGTCAGTTTATAGTAAACTGTCATGTAAACTGACAATATTAAGTGATATTCGTAAGTGCCGCAAGATTTATCCCAGGCTTTTCGAAAATAACACTGTCTGACTTCAGTAGTAAATTTATCAGACTCACTTATCAACTTAGAGTATGTAGATGATATAGTTCTGTTCGACAAGAACGCTGATAAAACGCTATTTCATAAACCCCTTGAGATCCATTTCAATTACTTGGAAATGCGTTTCTCTACCACTTTGGGACTGTTCTACATCAGCATTTCTGTCTGTAGAAAGTGAAATAATAAACCATGTTAACCGCTTATGAATTCCAATGGGTATTTGGCTGGTGAAGTATCGGCATAGATTTAAAATAAGCAACTTGATTTCCGCCAGCGTGGGTCACTCGTGGCGTGAGCGGGATGTCCATCTCACTGTGAAGGTGCAATTATACTGCAGTCCACTCTGTATCACTTGGTGACTGAAATATGCTTTATGAAAATAGGGGTTCTTAAGTTGCGAATTTTTGACCATACTTCTCTTCAAAGCATTTATCACGTATCATGAAACAAGTTGGTTAGGTCGTGAAACTTTCTTGACTTAGGTGAATGGAATATGTGTTATGTATCCCTAACTGCTTCCTACCCTTTTGCTCGACGTTAGCATATATAAAAGTAAGTTGAGAGAAAGCTAAGGACATCTAAACCTTCAGTTCATAAAGCCATTGATTGTTAAGAACACTGTGTAACATGACTCGAAAGCAGTCTAAATATCACAAATGCATTTGCTGCCTATCGTTTAATTGTTGTCTAACGATCAGTACAAACTTTTGACTAAATTCATCCGTTTGAGAACCGTACTTCCCAATTTTTAGTGTTTCTCGTGGCCATTGATACTACTGTTTTTTCGACTCAGAATTCATCTTCATTTCACTGTACCGAAGTGTTGCATTGACTTGGAACGATGCTTGTATCCCGTTTGTTGATGGAATATATTTGTGGTCAAACGTTTGACATTGAATCCTACTAGTTTTTCTAGTCGATATGTGTCCATCGTATGCGATATTATAGTCTGTCATCGTAAGCAGTTAAATATTATGTGCGTCTCATTTTTTGGGAAATAAGATGTAACCAATATTATTCTTTTAGTTTCAGGCAATTTCGAATCTACTTCTCAATTTCGCAACTCAGTGATCTTGAGACTATTATTTACAATGAAAGTTACATTTCTTTAACATTGGTACTCCTTAATTCATCTCATAACCTCTCAGTAAACCAATGTCGTCTACTGCATCTGTAGTCCCCAATGTTTCATATCATTTGCCCAAGCCTGTTACACAGAATTTCCAGCGCTTCGATTGTGGTTCTGATGGGTCAGTGTTGGGATTCAACCATCAATCTTCTCAAAATAATGATTATGGGTCTACTACTAATTTTATGAAGTCAGAGTCATCTATATCCGCTTCTAAACTAGTTTCCTATAACTTAGATAATGCTTTACGTCTATCATTAAAGTCATCTACAGTCCCGCTTAATGGGCATATATCAAATTATACAGAAAAACTGTCTCAACGACCTTTGTCTTTCCATGAATCGTCAGCCCCTCCTCTGGATTCAATAATCAAGCAGAAAATCCAAAGTTTACCCAGATCTTTGATCCTAGAAGATTCAGAAGAATGTAAATCCGTCAAAAAAGTATGTCTTTTCATGAAAATATCTGACAACTTTCCACTATTACACATTTAGTTTCAAAACCTACTGCTGAGTTTTTTAAATATTCAGATTGCCTAGAATCTTACATCTGATTTCATTTATTCCAAAAGTGAATATTCATGTGCCTACTAATAGTTTGGTACTGTCCATCCATCTGTGACATGCTAAATAAATCTATTATTGAGAGGAATTATATCGAGGTATAGCAATTCACTTATCGTTTAATAATCGCACTTGTATTCCACTGGTCTATTGGGTTACTCTTACTATCAGAACTATATCAGCACCCATCAATAATTTAACCCACATATTCAGAATACAGTAATCACATGTATGTCTATTAACTGCTGCCCATTAAAACAGCATCTAGTTAAAGACGCAAATAAATTTATTGACCATTAATCCCATGATTTCTTTATTACTATTCAGAAAGCCCTTGACGTGCACATGTAATGCCTTAGAGTCACTTTTGACGTACAAAACTTTACTAATTTCCCCAAATCCCACTAGAATTCGTTTCTTATTTATTTATTTATTTTAACACATAGATATTGGTAAAAGGAGGCACCAAACACATATGCGCCACACAAATCTCATTCGATATATGTGAGGGCTGTGATACTGCCCGGGTGCCCAAACCGAAGCAGGTCGTTTCCTTAGGGAGCCACTCCCCGAGCCTTCTACCTGAAGGTCTGATCCACAAGGCAGTGAAGCATTGTAAGGAGATGCAGTCCCATGGAAGCCGGTGGCCAACAATTGGTTCATACACCATTTGTTCCCTCAGGATACTGGAGCCCATGTGCACCATTGGTTTGGAATCCGGTTAAAGCGCTGGACATTCGCTTTTCGTCCTGTCATTTTTGTAAACAACACCCCCGCCACGAGAAGGCAGTGAGTAGGACTTCTCTGGCAGAGGCTATATACGCGTGACCATGTGAGAGCATTTTGAGAGGAAGAGCTGACTCTCCTCACTATCGGCCGTACCAGGGCGTTTTAATATTTGAAACAAGATACTCAAACCTTTATGTATAAAGACAAGTATATATCGCTAGTAGAAATTTCATATCTACTGAACCGTTCATTCATTATCCATTTACTAGGCTTTTTAAGGTTGAAATTACATATTTGTGGTTACTTTTTGGGGAGAAGACCAAAACTAGCTCCGAGATAAAAAATAAAATAAAATAATATTGGTGCCTCATCTAATCTAAATATGAATAACAGGATCCATTAGTTCCGAACCTTATCATCTCCTAACGTCCATTCAAAAAATGTGACTAAAATGGATATAAAGATATAAGAGAAATGTTCTTGGTGAGTGCTACTATCAAATATGTTTTTCGGTGGTACTGAGTTTTAATTCACTGTATGTAAATATATCTTAATCAAGTCGTTATCTCATCAAATACATCCATTCGTCCTAAAAATGTAATTCTCATTTAACTTAATCTATAATTTTCCTTAGAGTAGTACAACTACTCATAAGTGCAGAATTAATCTGGTAATTTTTTTTAAATTGAGTTTGTACTGCCACATTTCATTTTCTACAACACTATGTTTTTGACAATTTAACCAGTTCTTTGAAGTGTTATAATTAAGAGAATTAATCACCATTGTGCGTTGTTGTTCTTCGTAGACATGTATGATTTCTAGGAAAGAAGTAGCAAAAACAGCTAAAATTAGTGCGTTTTCTAGTTTACGTTTAAGCATTACTTTGTCCTTTATACATATACACTGTCATGCAAAAAGCACGTGGCAGTAAGCTGCCTGTGAGTTATCAGCAAATTTTAGGAAAGCCATTACGTCAGGAATTCAAATGTTGTAGCTTAGCATAAGCAGTAAGTAGATTTCCTTGTAACCAGTCTTGTAAAACTAAATGACCAACAAGGTTGTGTAATTTATTCTTTAAATTTTGATTACTATCGATTTTTGCTTATGCATATTACTTCTCGCGAAGGAGCATATGCCGCTCACCAGGTTACTACTATTGATAGCTCTCAATTTTTGGTTTATAATTCTTTTCGAAGATTCTGGATATGACGTGAATATACATATCATAAAACATAAACCTATGACTTCCTACTGACCACTCCCACTCGTCCAGTCAGTCTAACAAACACATTCAGTCAGCTCTGAAAATCAAATAATGACATCGGTCATTACTATCTAATAACGAGTTGATCTATAGTTTTAATTAGTTAAGTTGGACAATAGAATTATCTTTTTGATTGAGATCATGAACCGACTGATGTTAGATCACCACCTTCGGAAACCTGGAAGCACTGGACGGCTGTTTCGTCCTATTGTGGGACTCCTCAGCAGCGCGCATCCACGATCCCGTTCGTGGGATTCGAACCCAGGGCCTTCGGTCTCGCGCGCGAACGCTTAACCAACTGGACCACTGAGCCGGCATCCAATGGTGATAGTGTCTAACATCAACCAATCCACGAAATTGCGTGACCAACTTCCTTTGTACTCAGGTAGATACCTGTCTCTACTCGACATGGATTAGCTCGAGACCGAAGGCCCTGTGTTCGAATCCCGCGAGCGGGATCGTGGATGTGCACTGCCGAGGAGTCCCACAATAGAACGAAACGGCCGTCCAGTGCTTCCAGGTTCCCGAAGGTGGTGATCTAACATCAGTCGGTTCATGATCTCAATCAAAAACTTAATAATCTCCACAAACCCTATACTAGAATAATCTTTTCTATTTTTAGACCATGAAATTGATTCACTTATACAAAATGTTTTCCTGTCATTATGTGAGATTAAAAAATAAGAGAATCGATATTGTCACACGGGTACTATATTATCATTTCTTTATTCGACCTATCTTAAAGAGGGAATTTCATTAGAGGTGGGAAAGAAGTAGCAAAATTATCACTTACAAATTAATATTCTCTCCTCATTTTGAATGATTTTTTAAAAATTAGTCATTAGTTTTAGTATTTTGAGAAAATTAATATCATTATATGTATCATGTAATTTTTTCAACTCTTCTTGTATTTAACTTCTAGGTTCTCCTGAAAATAAACTCCTATGTTCTGATGATGAACTTGATCATTTGTGTCAAACCGGTGCTCATTGTATTCCAAAAAGAGCTTTGGGATTTGGTAACTCTGGGAATACATGTTATCTTAACTCTGTACTTCAATGTATTTTGGCTACTGGACCTCTACTTGCATATATTAACCATAAACATTCAAACCCTAGTAGCTGTATCATAACTAATGGTCGATCCAGCCTTCCAAGCTTAAACAAATCTCGGTTTTGTGTTTTATGCGGTCTTTCTCGTCTTATTAATGAACATCACTCTCAAAATGGACGTACAATTCCTTCTTACTTTGTAACAAATGTTCGAGGTAAGCAATAAGCATCGGAACGAATTAAATCTAACAGTGTAATATCCTTAATAAAATATAATTAATTTGTATGATACAGCCTTCCTTCGACATACCGACAAACTCAACGACTTCATGATAACTCTCAAAAACAGGTTCCAAACCTTACATGATCTGCTGAAAGTACTATGGGGGGGGGGCAACTGAAAAGAGATCAAGGTATCATTAACTTCTACGTGTCAGGAGTTTCTAGGCCGCAAAAAGCATCATCATAAGGAATGGATCTTTATCGCAACCTTGGATAAGATTCAACAAAGAAGGAACTGGAAGACAGCAATTAACAACAGTCTAACAAGAACAGAGAAAGTCAAGGTACAAGCCGAATACACAGAAGCAAACGAGCCAGTGAAGAAGAACACTAGGGTTGACAAGCAGAAGTGCATGGAAGACCTATCAATGGCAGTGGAAAAAGCTGCAAGAAACACACATCGAGGAAATCACCTGCTTCGGTATGGACACCCGGGCAGTATCACAGCCCTCACACATATCAAATGAGATCTGTGTGGCGCATATGTATCTGGTGCCTTCTTGTACCAATATCTATGTGTTAAAATAAATAAAACAACTTATTCTATCCTTGTTCAATTGTAATTTAACTTAGCTTGTTGCTTTATTCACCATTTCTCTACCTTCCCAGCTATTTGTCCCAGTCTTCGTCCTTATCAACAAGAAGATGCACATGAATTTCTACTTGGACTTTTGTCAAGAATGGAAGATAGTTCATTGGCAAGTTTTGGCAAAGTGTCTCGTAAAATATCTGAAACAAATGTCATCAGGAGGATCTTTGGTGGTATAATACGTTCAGAAGGTAAGTAAACTGTTTGCAACTTTCTAAGTGGTAATACACAACGTATTCTGATTCTCTAAAATATTAATTTCAATAGCGAATCATTTTTTAAATATTCTTGAAAGACTATCCATTAATATTATTATTATTATTATTATTATTATTATTATTATTATTATTAAACATCCAATATTTATTGTTGTATTCCAGTGACATGTCATTCTTGCCTCAAAGTTTCAGCGCGGGATGAACAATGCTTTAATTTGTCTATGGATATCACTTGCGCTCGAAGTTTACAGGTTAATCTATTTCCTTTCTTTTTTGAATGTTCTTTCTAACTTTTTGCAATAAAATAATGCTAAGTAGTCCGACATATTGCAATATTCAGTCATTCAGTCGCAACATAGAACATAGTACATATGTACATCGTGCATGTCCCAACCAACCTCTGCTGCAATATTGATCAAAATAATAATATTTGGGACAACCAGACTCAGATACGGCGTCATTGACTTTGAATCCGTAGCATCGCTCATAAGCAACGTAAAAACCTAACACATATACATGGGTCCAATTCGCTGTACCACACCAGTCAATGTAGTATATAAGCTATCACAGTATCAGTGGTAGTAGGGAAAATTAGCTATAGATAATGTTTCGAAAAAAGAATAAATTTATGGGGTAAAGAAAAGTATAAGATAATTTCGAAACCTAAAATGTAAGGAAAGATAAAGAGTGAATGCATCCCCGCCATTACAACCTAAAGTTCGACCATTGGTTACAATAATTTCATGGGCTACTAACCAGCCCGTAATTCCCTTCCATCTTATCTCTGCATCGAGTAACATTACTCATCAAAGTAGGCAATAATTAGCCATATGTAATATACATTCCAACCACCTCAGTTATTGAACATTCACTACTTCATCAATCTACTTATCATCTCTAGCTAGTACGTTGTGCCTAACCTCAGTATTTCTCACTCGGCGACCCCAATATACTCGACTAATCCCCCAAAGGCATCTATAAACCTCAGTCTGTGCCCTATAAGGCCCACATAATAATTCATAGCGTAGAACTTTATGTGATTCAAAATCGATCAAGCTGATTTAGTTGCATTCGTTCTTTAACTTCCTCTAAATCACAAACTGCCATTTTGCGTTTTCATTCGTTCTTTACGAACTATCCGCACTACTGTTGGTATTATTAATTTCATTTCGTTACTTTACGCTACCTGTCGTGTTGCTGTTAGCGTGTAAGGTTTAGCAGTTTGTGTCGATAGACACTTGTCTCTAGTTCTACTTTGCTTAGTGCACACTGCCTTCATTTATGTCAAGGTGTTTTCATGAGAAATAAACAGTATCAACCCTTGTGTTTGAATGTCACGTTTTCCAGTAATTGGCTACCAACTAACTAGTTAGTAACCAATTCGAAATCAGCTCAACTGACTATGCACTAAACAACCAATCAATACGATGTGTAGTAAGATAACGGGTTTGTATTTTGTTGAGATAGGTTTCTTTGTTCATTTACTGGAATGGGATGTGGCAGTGACTCAGTGTGGGTGTAAAAGTTCTCGACTTTCTGAGGATTCGAATTCCCTATCCATCTATTTAAGTCTATCTAATCGGGTACTATCACTATGCCCTAGATTTTTAATGTGTTCTAAATCCGAGCAAATAAGGTTGTATTTGCTAAGTTCCATAAATTGATTTTAGAATATACGTTCTCACTAATTAAATCATTCATTCGTCTTTAATTCTTATATCATCTAATTTTACGACACCTAACTAGCCAAAACGTTCAAAAGCTGAATATTTCAATGTTTACTCTCATTAAAATGAATGTTTAACTTGTCAATCCTCTTAGCTATGCAATAAATTTTTTTAAAAAACCCAATGCTTGATTCTGCTCTGTTGCATTAATTTCTCTTTCTTGTTACCAATCAAAACCGTATTAATCTTCTTCCATTTTATCTCTTTTCAGCAATGTCTGTGTAATTATATTCGTAGTGAAGAGTTATCAGGTCAAAATGCATATAAATGTGAAAATTGTCATCAACTTCGACCAGCTATGAGAAAATGTACCATTTATCGAGCACCACCTATACTTATTATCCAGCTTAATAGGTAAGTAGTTGAATTCTGTTTTTTTTTCATTGTAAGTATTTATTGTCAGCTTTATTTACAATTGTGTATGTAGCGATTTGACGTTTATCTGTTGCTTATCGAGTAATTCACTGTCTCCCGACATGTAGTTTTCTACAACTTCTTACTTTTTGTTAGTTATTCCATTGGAATAAAACTGGGAGGCTAGAACCGCCTATCCATTTCTTACAAAATCCATATTGGTATTCAATAGTAGAGGATAAAATGTTAAAAGTTAGTAGAAAAAAATTATCTCACTAGTTTCATTACTCATGTTCAATTCATTAAGTCGTCAATCAGTAACCTAATCTACTTCACTTCCAACAGCTAATTAGTGTCTTTAACCTCCATCCAATAAGTTTCGTGCGAAATGTACCACATAAATCTTAATTTACTTCTCAGATATGATCAGTCGTCTTCTGTTTTTGCGTTGTCATTCTATTCAACCTCTTTAGCTAAACATTGGTCCCCATATTAGTAGGTTTCTTGCAAAATGTCTGGACAACCTGTCTTTTTGTTATTGTTATCCAATCTAGTTGGTGCTTAATTTAACCATGCCATCAATCGGTGATCAATAAAATAATCATCAGTTAACACTTTTGTATTGACTGCCATGGCGTAGAGTGGTTAGATCACTTTGGACTAGTTAGGTCTTGGGTTCGAACCCAACCCCACCTACTTTGATCAGCTTGTTCGAATCCTTAGCCCTCATGCAACAGGTATAGCTTCTATTTTGGTACACAAACATATATTTAGTAGACGAGTCTGTATTATTACTAGTGCCTCCCCTTATAATCCTCTCATATGACGAGATCCAAGTCGGCGAACACTGTTGCTTCCCTTTGACTTCTCATTAGCGTAAGTTCAGTATATTTGAAATATTCTTATCTGCTAATATCGAATCACATATTCACTCTACCTGATGATAGATGTAGATCTATACTTCAACTTGTCAAATACAATATGAGTATAGTATAATGATAGTCAATATGCTTTACTAAATAGAATTACATTTAATTTGACCAAATAAGTATACAACTATGCATGTCGAATAAGCAATTTACTTACATAATTAGAATGTATGGATATATATATACACACTAGTCTCATGGAAAACTCAATTATAATCGCATTTTTGTGTATAAGACTAATCTCATTTATTTTCATTACGTTTTATACGTATTTAGAAATCATAGAATGGAAGTTTGTGGTCATTGAAAAATTAAACATATACTCTGATATTATTATACATTCATTATCCTATTCATTAATAAAGAAATATATTTGTGTATACTAATATGTATACGTATAAATGTATAAATTTATATGTATATCTTATGAAGTGATGAAGTTTTGTATTGAAGAGATGAAATGCAAATTACAATCGAAAAACAATTCAATTATTCGCTCTGCAAAAAATAACATCGACTACCATCCATGATGTTCTACCTGTGTATACATATACATATATGGTGAGAAAACTTGAGTATACCTGTGTTTGTAAGCTACAATAATTTTTATTATGTAATAACTCCTCCTTTGTACCTTTTCTTCATCCTTCCCTCCCCCCAATGTTCACTACATCTTTTGTCTACTTCAACTGAGTTGATTTTTTTTCATGTTATATTCTTGGTTTAACCAAAAATATAATGGCTATCCTTAATTGGTTGGTCAACTAAATTAATACAAGAGTTAAATTAAGATCATACTTAGTGTAAAAGAATTATAAATCTCATTAAATAGCAATGAATTTGACAGATCAGCTTAAGTTGTTTTTTTCTAACATCTCACAGTCTTGTCTAAATATGTCCCTATATTGTTTCATCATCTTCTGCTAAGTCTATTACCTATTTCTGTTTTAGTAACAATACTTCTATGAATTTGTTGTTCATCTTCTTGTGCTAATAAGATATGGCAACTTAAACCAATGCATATATATGTGCTTGGTCTTATGTTATAGCTGAATGACTTTTAGTTTTGCTTCATCATAACCAAATGTTATTCATAATGAGGTATGAATGTTATTCATCTGTTCGATTGTTAATCAATGGTTGGAGACTCTTGGTGACATGGCTCAGAAACGATCACAGTGGTGTAGTTGTGTACACTCTTTGTCTTCCCTTGAACTATGAGATTAAAATCGCTTCATATCTTTCTTTCTGAGAACTAATTCTTTCTTCCTGTACTATATCCTTATCGCAATCTTTCTTTTATATATTACCACCTCTAAATTAACTACTTTTATGTATCCGTTGTCCATCTTGTCGTGTTAATGAGGTATGGCAACTTGGACCGATGCATATATGTGCCTGGTCCTACGTTGTAGCTGACTGATTGACTGAAAGTTATTCGCATGTTCAATTGTTAATCATTTCAGAAAGTCTACATGTCAAGAACTGTAAAATTAGTTATCTATTTTATGTAGTAGTATATTTCTAGCCTAAATTCTTACGTTCACCGAAAGAATACCAAGGTTAATGATTATTCGTCTTACTATTCTTTGTTTATTGAGTTATTATTATCACCCTTTTCATTGTTACTAATGAACAATTATAACAAATAAATTTTTATTCTAAAATGTTTATTTTTGTAGATTTTCACGTCATCAAAAACTTGATATACGTGTAGATTTTCCTTCATCATTTAATTTACGTCCATTTATGACACAATCAAAAGGTTTACCAATATTATATAAATTATATGCTATAGTTAATCATGAAGGATATAGTTGTCGTAGTGGACATTATGTATCATTTACTCTACGTCATGGTCAATGGTTATCACTTAATGATAGTTTTGTAAGTCCAAATATATATTATATATATATGCATATCATTAATGATGTTTACTAGCTTTCTTTAATATAAATATATGAGAAATAATTCAACAGAATTTGTAATTGATTTTCTCTCTTTTAAGTATTCCAATTATAAGCGATTTATTTTTAGTATGATCCGAATGTGTTTCTCCACTCATTGAATGATGATTATGATGTTTTAATTTAGACATTGGATTTTGATAATACACAGTGAAGTTAGTAAGTGTATTAATAACTTTATTTAACTAGGTAAGTAGTTGTGTCTATTTTAGTAAGTTAGTACATCATAGAAATAGATGTCAATGGAAACGGTTGGTTAACATGACATGTATAAACTGCAATTTTATTAGTACTCAAGATAGTTTATGGTGTATATAGGTCCAAATTAATTGTCATCTCATCAAATTTGTGTGAGGGCCGTGATCCTGCACGGGTGCCCGAACCGAATTAGGTGGTTTTCTTAAGTGACCAAACCCCAAGGTCTAGCAGTGGAGCATCGTGAGAAGATGCAGTCCCATGGTAGCCAGTGACCAACAATTGGTTCATACACCATTTTTCCCTCAGGATACTGGAGCCCATGTGCACCATTGGTTTGGAATCAGGGTTTCCCAACTCCTGTGGCGCATATATATTTGGTGCCCCTTTGTACCGATATTTATGTGTTCAAATAAATAATGTAGGTCCAATTATATTGTACTACCACTGCTATTTGAGCTCTTTCTCTCAACAAGCTAAGATAGATGGAGATGGCTAAAAATGTGGTTGGTCAACATCATTGAATTTATTGACTGTTCGTTTAAATCACTTTTGAAATTTCAAAGTCTTCACATATAACCTAGTTTATTGTATAAAAAGTTACCTGGTAACAGTGCTGACTACATTAGTCCACTGAGTTTTACACTGTTCGATTACCACAATTGGTTCAAATATTATCAGTATCCAGTTAGCAAGGGTCTCATTCTAATTGTTAATGTTACATCGTGTTATTAGTGTTTATTTTTATTTGTTATTTGTAGTGGTACTTCAGTTATGTGTTGTCTTATTTTACGATCTGTAGGTTTCAACAACAAATCCTGACCATGTTTTACGTCAGTCACCCTACCTACTGTTCTATGAAGCGGTAAGTTATGATACTTATACTTCTCATTTTTCGTTCGTTACCCATGTAAATATTGACTCATCGGTCTAAACTCATTCATTTATCGAACTTAACTCCTACTGCTTAATTCTAGATAATTAAAAGTTATGATATTAACTACTCTTACATCCTTCTAGTTTTTGGCACTAGCTTTCGCTTGGTTACTGACTTTTTGTTCTCATCAACTGTATCATTTGTTTTTAAACCGCATCTCTTACTTTCATGTAATTGGTTACGTGAAATTGCAAACTGAGATTTTAATTTTGGTGTAGTTTTGTTCTCTGAGCTGGAGAGAACAAAACTCCACCAAAATCATCCACCTGAGCTACAAATCTTCTCCACCATCTCGAAATTTTAATGTTATAATTTATTCCAATTTCTTATAGACTTCACTTCTGTATAACTTATCTAAATATAGGTCTGTGTACCAAGCTTTAGTTTATACATTATGTCAAGACTGAAGTATCACAATAAAGTAAACAACGGGAAAATAATAATTGCTGACAAAAAATCAATCAAATTACAAAAATGGAATATAGGGAAGGTGTAGCAACATTTCTAAAGTAATTTTGGTAGAAATTCATTCCTTGAGTTGCATGATTTAGTCGTGGAGCTTTCATTTTTCTTTTGAACAATATCATCAGCACAAACCTCAGGTAGAAGTGTAAATTAACTCTAACAATATCAAGCTGTATTGTTTGTTCACACCTCCAGATACACATTTCATTCTAAAAATTCAAGAATTTTTATCGAAGTTCTTTTTAATGCTCATATTAGATGTACTTTTCTTTGTGAATTATGTTCATCTCAACACAGTCGTATCACCCTATTGTAACTACAGTGAATCAGGTTACTTGATTGAAAATGATTTATCATATGATTGTTCCGATTGTCTTCTGTGACTATGTTTTATTATCCTAAATCTATCATAACACGTATCTCTAATCGCTGCCTGCCAGATCAGTTCAAGAAGTAATTTACTGTTGATCCAATCCATGTTGGTAGGTTCACACTATCTGACTGAATGATCACGTGATTATTGTAACCCCTGACAGGAGGACTTTAGGTGACATCGCTGGAAATCAGACACAATGACACGGATGTATTCACTCTTTTTTATTCCTTGCATTTTGAGTTTCGTAATCACCTTATACTTTTTCTTCACTCCATGAATTCATTTGTTCTTTTCGAAACTTGTTGTATATGCCTAGTTTTTTCTACTACCACTGTTACTGTTACCTCTCTCACTACTTTGACGTGTGTTTTGATAATTTCACCTGATTGTGGTAATATAGTCTGGCGACTCAGATCGATATATGTATGTGTCGAATTCTCCATTATATTTGACTGACTCTGTCTTAATCCGTTCTACTTTAAACTTCAGTCATTTAATATAGATGTCAGGTTATTTTCACTCTAATCTGTAAGCGATAAATAATAATGTAAACACTCACTGTGTTTTTTGTTTGTTTGTAGGTTCGTAATTCAACTAACGGTACAGTTACTCGTACAGTAACCTCTAAGGAATCTTCACTCGACACTAATACTCCGAAGCTAAATAACTCCCAGTTACCTCCTGTTAATGATACAGTCAAACAACAACAGTCTATTACAAAACCTTACTTATCATCATCATCATCATCGTCTACACAGCCTAATCATCATAAATCTTTTAACATCATAAAACAAACAAATTTACCACCTGTTACCACATCATCTGTTATTTCTCAAAGTACTTCATTTACTAAGACACCAACAATTAATTCATTGTGTTGCAGTAATCCTACCACAAACACGGTATCATCCGTACCGAAAATTGTTTTTAATCCTAAACTTTCATTAAATAAAATAAACATCCTGCGTAAGTTCTCTACTTTATAAGTTTTCTGTACATGATCTTTCTCTAACAGATTGCTTTTTTTCAATTTCTTTTGGCCTGTTCGGATAATAAATAGTGTGTGTTGATTTTTATACCACCATAGATTTGTTATGTGTTCAGTTGTTTAACATTACCAGACACGTTTTCTTAAAAAAAGTTGTAATTCATTACTGTTGATATTTTCAGATTTAAATCGACTAACATTTACGTAACATTTTGACTTCTAGCGTGATATACTTAGGTGACTACTTTAAATTTAGTAAGGTCAGTTAGTGGTCTTGAATGCTGTTAAAGGTATCAGGGCGTTTGTCAATTTCCGGTTACCCATACCGTAGAAGGGTTCTTCTCGAGGTACTTGAAAAGAAAATTAGGTTAGGGGTGGTCTTAGTGACCTGAGGGCATGACCGCAGTGCCCATGAGACAACTACTTAAGACCAGTCACACACGATCTTTTTATGAGTAGTTTCCGTGTGATAAGGCGAGATGTACATTATTAAGGAGGACCTTTTCTGACCCCACTCTTCCCTGTGGGAAGGCAGCATCGCTGTTATGCTAGTTGTCTGAAGTGAACACCTTAATGCCGTCACACCTCTGTAAGCCCCCAAATGCCCTGGTACGGCCGAGAGTGGGAAGAGTCCGCTCTCCCTCTCAAAATGCTCTCACATGGTCACGCGTATATAGCCTCTGCCAGGAAAGTCCTACTCACTGCCTTCTCGTGGCGGGGGTGTTGTTTACAAAAATGACAGGACGAAAAGCGAATGTCCAGCGCTTTAACCGGATTCCAAACCAATGGTGCACATGGGCTCCAGTATCCTGAGGGAACAAATGACGTATGAACCAATTGTTGGTCACCGGCTTCCATGGGACTGCATCTCCTTACAATGCTTCACTGCCTTGTGGATCAGACCTTCAGGTAGAAGGCTCGGGGAGTGGCTCCCTAAGGAAACGACCTGCTTCGGTTTGGGCACCCGGGCAGTATCACAGCCCTCACATATATCGAATGAGATTTGTGTGGCGCATATGTGTTTGGTGCCTCCTTTTACCAATATCTTTGTGTTAAAATAATAAATAATAATAATACACCTCTGTAAAGTCAGCAGTACGACTTCGTCCTCGGACCTTGAGCTTACTGCTTTTACTCTTACCGCTCTTCAACCGACCTGTCTGGTATGGTAGGACCTTGAGGAACCGTTGTTCCAGCTAATATAGCTCGATTGGTTCATCACGATAGGCAAGCCCGACCACCACGTCAAAGTATCAGCAATGGTCGGGATTTATAGAGCATGTTTTAGAACAACATTTATTCAAACCGAGGATCTTCTTTACTGGACTTACCGCCCAGTTTTTTTCTACGACAATGGTCGGGGATTTAGTAAAGTAATTAACAGCAAAATAGGATCCCGACTATTGTATGCTTAGATCAGTGTGAAATCAAAACACATTGTTTGATCTTTCTGTCAACTAATTGCTGTTGTTAGACTAATCGAGATACTAAATGATTCTAATACTTTTACTAATCTACTTGTTATTCGACTTTATATATATATATATATATATATATATATATATATATATATATATATATATATATATATATATATATATATATATATATATATATATATATTGAACGCTATATTCGTCTCCTAAGCTATTCTGTAACCTCAAGCTAGAACAATACAGCGACCTGAACACGAGAGAAGACTCAAAGTATGCGAGAAGTACTTTACTCCAAAGTTCATTTTGATACAGAAAATACAAGGCTTTTATAATATTTTAAATGTCCTTGGGTTGCTAGAAGATTCTGGAATGCTACTAAACATAGAAGCAGTGTAGCACCCAACCATTCAGAGCCTCTGCATGTGACGTTTCGCTTCCTTGATATTTCTGGCTAAGAATATATATATATATATATATATATATATATATATATGCTGACTTTCAGTTTCTATTCTGATCTAGGAAGAGTCGATTGGGCTATCATGCATGGTCTCGGAATGCTAGACAGTAGTAGTTGGTTTTCTGAAGTTTTGATTCACAGCGCATCATTTGTTTAAATTTTAGCGAATATTTTCCCTACATTTAATTCATATCATACACTTGGTTCCGCTTATGATCTTGAGTAGAGCAAGAACAAACAATTAAGCAGAATAGCATGAATTCATTTTATTTCCTTAGGTCCTCATCATTTGCTTACAATTTGTATAATATTTTAAAATCAAAATTGTCTTACAAGTCGATGTACTTGTAAAAGTAAAAATCTATACGTATCATTATGGTGAAGTAATGAGATTGAACACATAAAGAATGTTGTAAATAAATACAATATCTGAAAGAAGATTCTGGATCACCAGACATAGTTACAGGGTTGGAACTATTGATTGATTATGTAATGAAGTGGTTGGGCGTAAATTAATGACAGTTAAGATCAACCTAAGTTTAAAATGATTCAGTCAGAAATAAAATTATGAATTCCAAAGAACTGATGCAGCCGAAATAAACGGGAATAAATCACAAGAATAATGTAATTAACTGACAGTCAAATCACCATAATGACGAAAGATTTGCAACTGTTTCTTTTTGGATACTTAAGTTGGGCTTAAAATGTTTAATGGCTACAGCTTCGGTGAATTAAGGAAGGATGGAATTCGATTGCTGATTAATGATTCTGAAAGATTTCAGTATACCAGCCTGATGCCCTATCACAGAGATGTTTTACAATACCACTGCTGAAAGCCTTTACTTCTATCAACCTGAGACTTTTGAGGATATGATCTTGAAGTTGAACGTAGATCCTTTGTAACTGCTTTAACAGGTACATGTATATTTGTATGCTTATTTGGTGGTAACATGAAAAAGGTACGCGTTATGACTTAAATCGCTGTACATCATCAAGTGGAATTCATCATCATAACTAAAGTTGCGTAACATGTGATCAGTTTACTTAAAATATGTAAAGATTCTCTGATTTTTATTATTATCTGTAAATAGATTGTTTTGTAATTATTGATTGTATTATATTAGAAATAAGTCGCATAAGAACAAGCTTCACTATTTATAAAGTAAAGCACAATTATTATTTAGTACTTCACCTATAGGAAACGGGAAATTTTCTTCGGTAGAAAAGCTAATTTCTTCTCAATGCTACTGTTATAGACTTCTAAAGGCTCTTTTATTTGTTACATTCTTCACTATGATATTCGGAATGACTATTATGCATTGGAAAACAAAACGCTCTCAGTATTCCAAACATGTTAAATTAATGTATTATTTCCTTATGTGTGATACAATCTGTTTCTTGATCCTATTTATTTGATTAACTTGAATGTGAATTATTCTTTTACTATTTTGTCAACTTATTTGATGGTTTCTCTATATTTGGCCTACAAATATGAAATTATTATCTGTATATAATTCAATACTCTTCTTCTTGGGATTTTATTCATATTCAATTGTATACATCAGTCTATCGAAATGTTTGGTAAAACCTAAGTAAAATCATATAATATTACTTGAGTAAGATGATATGTTAAGGATTAAAATCTTTTTGTTTCAGGTGTTATATTGACAATTATGAATGGATAATAGTTACTGATTGTAATCTATCTCTTTTCGATGAGATTAATGAAAATTATACACTGTCTAAATCGGACTACCTGACTTATATTCGCTTCCTAATGATTATCTTACTCGAACATTGTCTATCTGTTTTAGCGTCCCAAACGGACATATGTGTATAATGAGTAGTGTATCATATTATTACCTTTACATTATAGTGATAGAAAATTACATTTGTTAATCAAACACTTGTGAATTTATTGTGTAGTTTCATGTTTCAAGTTTTATTTATTTGGTCATTGCTTTCTTTTGTTTGTATTTTTTTCAGCCTCACCAATTGTTCCCTCTACATCGATATCAAATGGTTCCATTAATTCACTGTCTTTTACTTCGAAGAATAAAAATATTCAAGATATCGTAGAATGTGGTAAGAATCATCATTCAAATATTATATCAACAGTACCTTCAGCCAGCAGTAGTACTAGTGGTACGACAACAACCATCTCTTTATCAGCGGCCACTGTCCGGGAGGTTAGATTTTATCTTTAGTTGTTTTGTATTGATTTTTCGTGTTTAGTAGTAATGTAACCACCTTTTTTAAGTGGATGTCTATAGGTTAAAATAACCGTTATCGGTGGTTGGAGATGGGTGACATAGTCCATAATCGGTTTTAATGGTGCAAATGCACTTACTCTGTCTTCCCTTCGATTCTGGTTTCCAAATTATCTTTTGTTTCTCATTCCACGCATCTGTTCTGCTCGAATCATACCATCTATGTCTAATTTTTTTCTGCTATTAATGTTACTATTCTTCGTGCTGCGACATAGTAACCTAAACCAGTCCCCACATATGTACCAGGTTTCTCTTTGCTAATGACTAGCTTACTTCCACTTAGTACATTATCTTAAACTGGTTATAACGTTATAACTTCCAAATCTATTCAAAAAAAAACCTAAATCAACTCAAGAAAGTCTCAATTGTCATAGTTCTAGGTTGATAAAGGGGATACTATGTAGTGAGTAGAAGTCGAATTGATATGCTAATTAGTAAATCCCAGCATTCAAGTCATAGAGCACACTTGACAATATTATATTCTATAATTTCAGTTAGACACATAGTAATGTACAGATAAGTCATCATTACATCACAATCAAATTATATTCAGCTTTCAATCAATCGGTTGTATGTTCAAACAATTCCATCTGTCTTATTTCTATCAGCATTTTGGTAATACACGCCGTAGACATGAAGAAAAGTGTGACTTAATGCCGGTTACCATACTACGTTGAAAACGACGTTCCTCGTCCGACCACCACAGTTCAGCATCGTTGAGCCCGGTCAGTACTTGGATGGGTAACCGGCTTAGAGTGGGGAGAGTCAGCTCTCCCTCTCGAAACGCTCTCACATGGTCACGTGCATACAACCACTGCCATGGACGTCCTACTCACTGCCTTCTCGTGGCAGAGGTGTTGTTTATGAAATTGAGAGAATGGAAAGCTAATGTCCGGCTCTTTAATCCGGTTGGTGGATACGGAGGATCCACCTGGGAGGTGGGGTTGAAAAACCCTGATTCCAAATCAGTGGTGCACATCGGTTCTAGTATCCTGAGGGAACAAAAGGTATATGAACCTATTGTTGGTCACTGGCTACCATGGGACTGCATCAGCTTACGTTGTTCCACTGCCTTGTGGATCAGACCTTTAAGTCGAAGACTCGAGGAGTGGCCCCCTAAGGAAACCACGTGCTTCGGTTCGAGTGTGCGTGTATTACCCCAGCCCTCACACAAATCGAATGATTTATGTGGCTGATATCTGTTTTGTGCCTCCTTGTATCAATGTTCATGTGTTTAAATAAATAACTAGCTTAATGCCAAATACAAAGTATCTTTGCTCAGTTATTCAAGTACACCTAAGTAAATCAACTATCGAAATTCGTTATCTATAAAGTATTTCATGTTGAACAACAAAATTTGGTTACTCCTATGCAACTCCTTTGCTTTATGCCATATTTTTGTGATAGTGTCACTACTGGATTGGACACTTTCTCGATTATTCCACTTTTAAAGACGTATACTGTCATTTTTTTACCTAGTGGCATTGGTCACTACTCTGTGATAAGCCAGTTGTACGTACATCTCAGTCATACAACAGGTCACTCTCAGCCCAAATAGAACCCTGGCAACGTCTCTTATGATGAAACTAAGTGACACGGCATTAAATCTCCCAGGCAGCATCAGTTTCCTCACGATTGTAGGTGCACATTGCTGAGTGTCAATTAGCATAAAACCTACACCCATAGCTTCTTGACAACTACCTAAAATATCCATGTTTGTTCAACCCACTCAAATCTGATGCACACTGCTGAGAAGTCCCGTAATAGGACGAAACGGCCGTCCAGTGCTTCCAGATTTTAAATGGTGGTGTAACATCGATCGGTTCATGATCTCAGTAAGAATTCAACAATCTCCACAACCCTATACTGATAATTATCATGTGCTCACTGATTACCGACTTGGAGGGGTTAATTCTCAGAGTTCCAGTGTGAAGCTGTAACCAGTGGAGTTCAACCGTTTTGGGTGTGAGGCAGTTACCCACTGCTGTCCAGTGCTTCCAGCTTTTCAATGTTAGTCTAACATTGTTCGATTCATGATGCAAACTAAATCCGATCTGGTTGAATGATCTCTATTTTCTTATGTCGGATAATAAAAACCCGCCAAGATGAGTGTGCACATTGATGTTTAATTATAAACTCAGTATTTAACAACTGTAAACTTTTATTGTTTCAAATTTGTATGAACAGAGTTTGTAATTAACATTAAAAATGTATGTATACTATTCATGTGGACCCCCTCGGTACGATGTTATCAAGATAAATGTATTTTCTACTATTCGTATATTCTTAATATTCATTTTTTTCTTTTTTGTTCTTTAAGTTGCTCTATGGAAAAGAAACACCATCAAATTTATGGACTGAACGTCCAACACCAATAAACGAGTCTGTTTTATCATTGTCGTCGACTTCATCATCATCTTCAACAATAACAACATTATCTCATTGTATTAAAAATCCGACTAGTGAACAATCATCAGTTACTCTTTGTAATAATTCATATAATCTAACCACAATCAGTACTACAAAGGTACAAACCACCTCATCTCAATTGCCTTCAGTTAATACTACAGACTTAAAAGATAAACAACATGAATTGACAAATCCTTTAGTGGACTATTCTTATGAGGTAAATGTTGACTACTTGTATCATATTTATGTGTTCTAATCGTTCTCACTTTTTTTAATTATAATTTTCTTAAGAGTATGATTGAGTGTTTTATCTTAATCTAAATTGAATAAGTGTCAGTCAATAAAATGGAGAATACTAACCCAATTAGAAAGTCGTAACATAATTCCAAGAAGTGATTATCATGCTCTTAGTCTAGAAACATCCTATCAACTGATATACAAAACAATAATCGATTTCGTGCAACCCTAATTATCCAACTTATTAGAATTATGTAGCAATTATTCGAAAATGTATGTATGTATGTATGTATGCATTATCCCTATTTTGTTTTATCGAACTTCTTAAGTTTGAATACTTTTTTAAAACCTTTTTTCGTACCATAAAGTGGTACACTAATGTTTGTGATTTCTTCCTACTTGGATATCCAGTATTTCCTTAAAGTTGATTCTAGATCGACCAAAGGAATAGATTTTTAATCATCTGTTTAAATTTTAAATAGCCCCCGTACAGATAAGTTGGGGACTTCAAAACCCTCTCCCTGATTGGTTGGTTCTCAAAGACGTTAAAAATCAATAAATACTCACACTTTTCCTTTTGTAGCACTTTCCGTTGGAGTTAAAGTAAATCTATTGTTTACTCTTGTCTTCTTGATAGTTGAGAGTTGTCTCAAGATTCATCATTACTGGTATAGGGCAAGTTCGACTGAAGAATGTTTCTACGTTGCATCCACTATTACATTGATATTCCGAATCATGTAACTGAAAACGGATCATAACACTTCTTATTTTTATTTCATTGAGCGTTTATTAAATATTTTATATCTAGCTAACAACACTACTTTCCTTAAAACTATCATCTTCATACAATTTTCACACTTAGAACCAGTTGACCACCTAGAATTGTTGTTTTCAAAGATGCTTGTAATAAGGTTCTACATTCAATGACTGTAATTTAACAGTAAACTCTTCTGAAGAGCAGTTGTGCTCAGGATTCTACTTCGAGTTCTACAAAATTCATTCTGAATGAAATATTCTATATTCATGCTACCATAAATCCGCTTTGTCTAATGTATACTTTCGTATCCAAAACTTTATCTATAGGCTTTTGATGCTTTGCAGTTTGGTGTTATCGCTCTACAACTGACTACTCAGGGTTTACGGGAAGTAGACGTCACCACCCTATAGTGCATTAGCGTTGTCATCGTGATTATGAAAAGAATATTGCATTTTTACTAGTTCATTACTTAAGATAACCGATATACTACCATATAAGTCGAATAAGTAAATGCAGCTTTGCTAAGTAACATATGGTAGTTATTGACTTAACTAAATATCAGTAGATTCATGATTACGTACAATAGTTATGCATGCATTTTAATTAAGTCTTCGGGGTAATCAGTGAATAGTGAAATGTTGTAAGTAGTTAGTTTAGATATTTGTTATATAATTAATTGGTTATCCATTCTTAACTATTCAATAAGCAAAGATGGGTGCTGCCTAGCAGTGGAAACCAGGACACCTGCATCATCAACTCTGGGATGCAGATACATCCAGCTGACGAGTCCCAGATAGAATTCCACTTCTAATCACCATCCATCTTTGTTTATAATGCTTGTGAATTATGGCCATATCGATGCGCTCCGCACAGGATGCACATATGCCATTAAGAGACTGGCAGTTCGAAAAAGTGATAAATAGTTATTACCTCTCATGTAATAGTTTCTGCGTTGTAGTTTTCAGTAGTTCTTTCCGATGTGTCCTTGTTCAATAAAATTACCATCCCGGATAATAGCCCAGTCCATGACCATTTAACATTCTCTAAGACATTTTTTAATTGCATAGCTTTTATTGTCTTTCTGGACAGCATCATCAATGCTAATACTATTTGGTGGTGAAATTTTCAGTTATTCCGCAACAGTCAATACTTGTTTGTAACTGGTTGTGTTCTTCGATTTCATTGTCTTCATTTATTCTCGTACTCATGTTGATTGCCTTCTCTGGTTGAACTCTAGCCTTGTAATTGTTTCATCGCTTCCATATGGGTTGATAGATTGGAGGTCCATGATTAATAAAACAGTAGCTTAGTATACAGGCTACGTGGTCACCAATTCTAAAACATAATAAACACCGTTTATTTACTATTCGTCACTAACAATTTTCATTTCTTTCACTTTTAAGGAATCGGACAGTGATAAAAATGGTTCACCACCTCCTCACAAGCGAAGTCGAACAACATACAGTGGCTCTGACTCTGGCATTATTTGGGTTCCCGGCAATCATAATGAAGAATCCAAAAAGCATCATACTTATAAATCTTCACCAGATGAACATAAACGTCATAAGAAAAAGCATAAAAGTCGTCATTCGTCTAAACACAGTTCTTCCATCATAATTCATGGAATGGTTCCGACGATAACCATCACCGTCATAATCATCGTAATCGGGAGCTCGATCGTAGCAGTAGTCTGCCTCGTCCTTCTTCTCATCATCATCATGACAAACATCGTCGCCGTCATCATCATAAAAAATATCGACAAGAGTCACCTGATTCTAAAAATCACCGCTTCCATTCACATCATAAACACTACAAACAATCTCATAGTCATGAAAATGGATACAGGTAAAAAAAAAAGAAATCTCACTGTTTAGTCTGCTGCTTCTACATCAAACAATTATTTTTTGCATGCATTCTTACACTGATGAAATCTGTACTTCAATCTCTTTCTATCCTTAATCATACATATATAAACACATTGTCTTGAATTGGCCTACCATATCTGCAAAGAAAAATTATTTTTCAAATGGCAATGCAAAATGAATTCATTAACAGAGATCAGTATTTGTCTATAACCTGGTGTGTATTGCTTATGAAGTCACCTCTCTATTTCTTCATTATCCAAGCTTGTTTTTCTTTAGTTATTTTATACTTTCTCACTTTTGTATTTAAATGAGGTCTAATAATCCAAACATAAAAATGTACAGTTATGTTCTTCTTTTTCTCCTTCTTTAAACCATCATGTTATCGACGAATGACGATTACACAACCAATTCATCCATATGATATAACATTGCATACATTATTTAAGCCTATAAAAATTGAAGAAGAAAACAAAAGAAAAACTGAAATGCATTGTAATTTATTATTTCCTAAAATCCTACTAAATTTTAATTGAGGATTATATATATAAAGTGGTTTTACTGCTCCATTAATTAACGTTCTGTATTATTGTCTTTAATGTTATTAATTCTTTTTTTTTCTACTTGTTTACTTTAAAGTGATGTCGACTACGCTTTTTCAGTGTTTTTTTTTCTGTACGTAGCTATAAAAGTTTTCGAAGAAGAATTTTGTTTTGGATATCTAGTCTGTTTGTTTGTTTGTTGAAGAAAAACCATTGTAAAAATTGATAATCTCATAAACAACAAAATCTGTTGAAAGAAAAGTTCGTAATCAATGAGAGAGATCCTGTTTCAAATATCCATTTGACCCTAATACGGCTCTCACGTGGTCACGTGCATACAACCACTGCCATGGAAGTCCTTGTTGCGTGGGTGTTGTTTACAAAATTGAGATGATGAAAAGCGAATATCTTGCGCTTTAATCAGGTTGGTGGATACGGAGGATCCACCTGGGAGGTGGGGTTGAAAAACCTTGATTCCAAATCAATGGTGCACATGGGTTCCGGTATCCTGAGGGAACAAAAGGTATATGAACCTATTGTTGGTCACTGGCTACCATGGGACTGCATCAGCTTACGTTGTTCCACTGCCTTGTGGATCAGACCTTTAAGTCGAAGACTCGAGGAGTGGCCCCCTAAGGAAACCACGTGCTTCGGTTCGGGTGTGCGTGTATTACCCCAGCCGTCACACAAATCGAATGATTTATGTGGCTGATATCTGTTTTGTGCCTCCTTGTATCAATGTTTATGCGTTTAAATAAATTCATTTGGTTCAGTTCTCCATTACTGCGTTAGTACGACAAAATGAAACTAATAAGTTGAATAGAAAAGCAGCTGAAGTAATTTGGTCGCAGTGATTATTAGAAAGACTAAGTACTGAGAATGTAGTTCGAAGCAAAAGGTATATATTCATAAATACTGGGACTCTAGATGTATGGTATGACAGATTGAATGTATTTGCGCCATTGTAATTGGTTCTGAGACATGTCACACAATATCCCCAACCAGTTATCTCACGGTAATCTTTATCAAACAGCGTGGCTCACGTTAACAATTTGTGACTTCAGCGACATAAAAAGGGAGTCGTTTTAAAGAGACACTTCAACGTTTAACTAGCTGCAAGCGTAGAATGGTTCAGCTACTCATGTTTGAAAACTTGACAAGAATGAAAATTGTTCACAGGTTTAAAATGATTTATTCTGGTAGCATACTTACATTGCCAGTATCATACATTCAGATCCTTCAGAATATAATCAAGCCTGACACCGCTGCTAGTTCCCGGTAATGTAGAGAGACTGTTAAAGACCGTCATTCAACTTAATTTGCTTTTGTACATAGCTTTCATTATGCATATAGTACCTTTAGAACTTCTCTTGCAAACAATTCTACAAATCCTTGCTTTTTGAAAAAGTCGAAAGCAACTTATCGAATAAATCTGGGCTATTATTCTGTGTGGAGATGTCCAAACATCTATGAAAAATTATTGTAGCCCGGATCAGAAGAGAATTCATTATATTTTAAATCAGATACCATTTGAACCAAGACCTGTAAATTAGCTCCGACACCACTGTCATTGGGTTGAATTTGGTGAGTGAATTTTCGATCATTAGGATGAAACAGAATGCTTATCGATAGATAAAATGCAATGATACGATATGAAAGAATAAAAACAGTCCATGAGAATGAATTATTGATGTAAGCAGCCATATAATTCCAGATTGAAGACAAGACTAGGAAATAGACTCTTCCTAATAGGACTTAAACTTAGCCTTTGCATTTTAAAAAAAGTCAGTGAATAGCCTTCATCTGCTTAAGTAACCATAGCAACTTGACTACTTCAATTTTAATGAGAATCTAAAGAGTTCAGCCAAAACGTCCTTTCTTTCTAAACTTCATAGATTTCTGTTATTACATAGTGCTCGAACAGAAGCAGTAACTAACATTACCGTTAGCCCTATGATAATGTTTATCTCAACTTTTGATAGGTTATCTACAGCTTGTTCTGTATGTTAATGTTACTGTCTTAGATCAATCTTCACAGAACTCCTTATATCAATTATCCTTGGTCTAAATTAACCACTATTGCTTACATTCTTAATTTATATGAAACCTACTTTGACTCCTCTTTGTTCCCAGATCCAATCGTAATGAATCATCACAACTGGAGTAGGAAACTTTAACTAAATAAGCAATTTTTCATTTACATTTCAACTGTTAGAATCCATAGAAATACAGTACATATGTATACATTAGCGTATAATGATGGTAATAAACTATCTTAAATATGTATAGACACTTATAGTCTATTCGGACTGATATTCGTGTAAGCTAAGTGTGGAATTTTTTGGTTTACATGATGAATGAATCATCAATAAAGGGTTGTTAAATTAAAATGGAGACATACCAACTATAACATGAGTAATGAAAATAAAAAAGTACACATAAGGACAATATATTTTATACACATCGTTCCCTTTATCATCTTTGTTCTTGCTCTCATCAAGACTTTATATTTATTTACCCGATGTGAAAAGGACAGAATATGACCCGGTAGTAAGTGAAGGTCAACGGAAGGCCAAAAAATAATTATTACATGTATATGTTTGGTTGATGAATTTTAATCATTATTCCTTTATGCTTTGTAAAGAGTGTTGTGCAAAACCTTGAATACGTCAGTGGATCCCTATTTATGTTAATGACTGTCGATCTCTTACTATGTTTGTTAATTGCCAATACCAAACTTATTGGTTCAAATCATTACATTATCCAATTTATGCTCTAGAAAACGATGATGGCTTTGATAAAACAAAATAACCGTACATCTTGTTTCCCAGTTATCTATAAGCAAAATCTTTAGAGTGTGCAAACCAACCACCGGAGTTATGGTTACAAAGACTCATTTTACTGTTTTAATAAATTTTTAAGTAATTATTCCTCTTTACATACTTTATACTGTCCTGATTTGTCCTCTCATTGAGAAAGCACATGATCACAAATGAGATCCAAACAGTGAATCCAAGACTAGTTGTAGTTTTCCTATGATTCTCTATAGTGACTATCGGAAAGAATAGTGTTAATTTGTTTGTATTGTTACCTTAATATCGGCATTGTCGAAATTACCACTGCTGGGGAAGAATTCACCATCAGGGTAAAATTATTATCATATGTTCTCCAGTGTGTGAATCAAATGTAGACTACACCTAATTGTTTCGAAATAATAAAGCTAGAGAACGATTATTAACTTGATAGATTTTTATTGTCTTAGTTGGGTCGTTTGGTCATGGAGCTTTCGTCGTTCTTCTGAACGACATCATCAACACAAACTGCAGGTAGAAGTGAAGTGTTCGAATTTCTCCACACTTAGTTCACAGCTTGTCATGTAGATCTCGATGTTGATTGGTTCTTGTTGACCGAAAATCTTCAGGACAAGCTGTGAACCACATGTGGAGAAATTCGAATATTTCAATTCTACTTGAAGTTTGTGCCGATGATGTCGTTCAGAAGAACGATGAAAGCTCCATGACCAAACAATTCAGTTCAGAGAACTAAACTCTATCAAAATCATCCAGCTGAGCTACAAATCTTCTTCACCATCTCAACGATTATTAACTAAAACTTCTGTATTGTGGCGCAATATTAATGGTATGCATCGAATACTCACTGATTCAATGTCATCTACAGACCACTTTATCTGTACAACTCATTTTTACGACAATATTGACCTAACTTTTATTGATGAGCGTTTTATAATAGATTGTTGTATGATCAGATACTGATTTGATATTTGCTTACCTTAAACTTCTCTTATAATCAGCATATTCTTTACTGGTCTTCTATGGACAATAATAGTAACCGATATTATCAATAGTATTTTTCTCATTTGTTTTCCAAGCACTATTACAAGGTCAAGGACGTGCATATGTATATTTAGATTAAGTAATAAACATCCAAATGATGATTAGCTTGTTGTGTTTATATAACTACAAAGAACGTTTGATTCTTACTGATGAATAATTCGGATTAACGTTCTCTGTTAGTGGAGTACATATACATCTAGAGTGAAACAATCATCACACAGTATCTCTAATAGATTGAACTTGGAAATGGGCACCTACCAAATGGTTATAATGGTAAAGTTCTTGCTATCTAATTATCCCTGCTCTTCAGTAATACTCCGAGTCAGATTAATTTGGGTTAAGTAGCTTCTACAAAACACCAATATAAAGATCCATTTCTCTATACAAATCGCTTGCTCGTATGAATTCATTCAATAACAATGCGTTTAATGTATCATAAATAAATTCAATGGGTCACTATTCTGGTAGTCAAGGATTATATTATTAATTAATTTAACGTGATAATCCGTTCATTCTAATAATCGATTTAATTTTAACAAATTTGTTAATTATTTCAGTATAATTTTCCTTATTGTAGTCAGTTAGTTGCTATATCTGCTCAATATAAAAATACGTCATTATTATTAAAATATACTTAATAATCACTGAATAGAACCTTCATTTATAAAGAATAATATCCTCTCATAAAGCCTATATATTCTTCGTAACCATAAACTAAACTTGTCTTCCTTGAACTTTCTAATAGCTGGGATCTAGATCAAAAGTATTATTGAGGGTATCGGTGGCTATCAGTGGAATGCGCTTTTCGTCCTAATTGGAACTCGTCAGTTAGATTTACCGCCGTTCCGGAATTCATACTCCGTGACTCGAGGTGAACCTCACTGGATGCACATATGCCAATAAGAGTCTGATCAATTGCAGTCATAAACATTAATGGGAAGATTCAAACAAATAATACAAAATGGATTTAAACTTCAACCCATTGCGCAATCAATTGGCTAACAGGACTCATTAGGTAAGTGGATAACGCGATTTGAAACGTTTGGAGTGAGCGGTACTGGGTTACAGTCACGGAGTGAGCGGTACTGGGTTACAGTCACGGAGTGAACATCAGGTACATCCAACTGACGAGTTCCACTAGGACGGAACGCGCATTCTGGATTCCACTGCTAGCCACCATCTATCTTTGCTTATTATGTAATTTTATATTTATATAATTTGTAATGTAATGAAATTAGACTCATGGTAAATAAAGGGATGTGAAAAATTGTCTTTTGTGTGTGTGTGTGTGTGTGTGATTCT